AAAAATAAATGCTTATTGGTTTGAAATTTTGCCTATTTAACCTCCTGAGACCCTGCGGCCTCATATGAGGACATTACATTTTTGCCTCTTGACACAATGATAGTCAAATTTGTAAATCTTAGACATGTTGGCCACATTTAGGGGCACTGCCCACACCATCTTGAAGTGATATCACAACATTACACCAATGTCAGTGAGAAGAAAATGACCCTAACCCTAACCCTAACATTTCTACACCAGTTCCCGAAAGAAAAATGACCCAGGTAAAAAATCTATTCAAATTATATGAATGAAACAAATGTATTTATGTACAATACTGTCTCTATCATCATATGGGGATTAAAATTTGACATATTTTAGTAATAGTAGCACTCTAGGACATCAGTAAATATGAAGTACTCGTTTGAGGACATTGGGACTATATTACGTTATCCCCTTAACTGTCACCGTCCCACGTGGGACGTTTGCCCATATATATTTAGAACAATAATATCTTAGTAAAAACTAAAGTAATATTGACAAACTAAATATCATTTGAAAGCTTACAATCTCTAGTTTTCATATTTGGTGGCTGTTTTTTAAAATAAATTACAGAATAGCAGTAATTTATCAATTTGCAACAAGAATATTTCATATTCATTAGCGTGTTTAGGCCTTTATTTTGAAATAGAAAAAAAACATGAAAAATCATGAAAGATTGGTAGAAACCTCAGTTTGTTTTCATGCCAAGAGTTCAAAAGATAACACTAATTAAATGTTATGAGAAAAAAAGGTCTGAAAATGTTTAGAATATAAAGAAAAATATTATGAATTCTCGATTTGTGATGCGGCAGCGAGCTATAACGCACATATGTGCACTTTTTATGTTTATTAGAGGTTGAAATCAAATCAAATACTGCCAAAACACCCATACCATTTCTGAATAGGATGTATACTTAAAAAATTGTATGAAATTATGGAAAGACATGGTTCAGATCACTCAAAACATATGAAAATGGAGACACCCTTATATGGTCAGTAAGGAAGCTGGCTGTCCATCTAGTGAAAAAGTTTGGTACTACGCCCAAATAAAATCTTACTGAAAGCTCATCTTTTGAGATATCAACCTAAAATTTGGAACACAACTTGTTTAGATTTTTGGCTTTAATTTTCTTGCAGTTTTAAAGTAAAATATATTTTATAATATATATATTTTATATAAAATATAAATGATTATATTTTTACATTCTATATTTTCATAAACTCAAACTTATATAACTTTTTTTCTGTTTCACTTTCATAATTTATTTCACTTCTACAATAATCTGGCAAATGTCTTCTTAAAAACAAGACCAAATATGTCTATATTCCAAAGCATTCTTGAATTACAACCATTTTACAACCACAAGTTTTTTTTTTTATTGCTGTACTGTGTCCTCACACGAGGACATCATATGGTAAATCATAGACCCACTGTCCTCACATGAGGACATCATTTTCTGCAAAAACTACTTCCTGTACAAAAACAAATTTTAGTTATTATATTTATTAGGTCCTACTTATCCCAAATAGCAAGAACAATTATAAAATGCACACCAGGCAAACTCTCGGGTCTCAGGAGGTTAATGCAAATTTAAATGTTCAAATACATTCTGGGACTAATGTGCATGTGCCTACTTCAGATTCCTCATAATAAATTGATGAAGAAAGGCCCTAAAAAGTGATCACTAATGGCTTCGCTCGATTTGGATGAACTTCCTGAATTCATGCCAGCTGAGACCTTCACGTCTCACACAGCGGGAGGTGCTGTCACCAAAACCAGGAAGGATGGGAGGCTTTCGGATGTAGGTTTACCCTACCTGAATGACAGTCTCTTCCTTTGTGGTCTAAAAAATGAGCAGAATATGGTAGAACTGCAGTTATGCTTAATATTAGTGCCTCATACAGTCCAAAGCCATGCAGTTTAGGTAGATTGGATTTTGACAAATTGGCCGTAGGGTGGTGAGTATTTCCCGCACTCTCAGTATTATTGGGTTGTGTAAAGAAGGGCATCCGACCTTAAAAGCTGTGCCAAATCCAGTGTGTGTGCGCGGATAATTCTGATGAAGTGGAGTGGACCCTACAAATGAGCGGGGCGGGGGCACTTTTAGCCTTGTGAAGTTGAATTAAAAACTTGTTCAAAAGTCACGTATCACAGTCTCATACATTTTAATAATGTGTCTAGTTTCAAGGTCTGTAAGAGGAAAAACTTAGATTACAAGAGAAACTGTTAATATTTTACATTTTTTCGACCTGCAATAAACAAATATAATTTCCACCACATCTCAATAGCCTACAGCTATTATTTAAAAAAAGAATAACTTTTGCCACTCAAGAATTGTCTAAGATCATTTTTGTAACTAGTTTTTACCAGTTTTTCCACAATGTACAATAATTATACATTTGTCAATTTGATAAATTAAGAACCAAATGCTGAACTGTACAGCTGTCACACTCGGAAATGTAACATTGGTTTGGGTAAGAGCTTATTAGAAAATAAATAACTTGAATTTTGATATTAAGTAGAGCATGATCTCATAAATTGTGGATAACGTTTTAATGTGTGATTAGAACTTTTTAAATATTTTTTAAAAATGTGTGTAGTGATGGAAATGACTGGGTGTTGTGGAAATGACAATGAATTAACGTGAATGTATAGAAACGTTAGTAGCGATATTTATTAGAAAAATTCTAAAACTCATCACACTCATTAAACTCAATTCCCAAAGTCATTAAACATAACCACACCTGTTTTTAGTGCAGTGCTGAGTTTGATGTATATAACTGATTTGTCTGTTTAAAAAGATATGAAATCCTAAAGTAGGATGTAAAAACACTGTGGCAATAAATAAAACAGTCTCAAACAAAATCCTTATAGGCTATTATAATTACACAATAAACGCCTCCAAAAAACTATATAGTGAAACCACTGTCTAGACATAGCCTATAACTAAAAATGTCATTGTGTCATTTTGCCTTTGTCATTTTCCAGTCACATAAAATGAGTCACGACCACAAAAAAGTCCGATTTTTAAACTGTATTTGCATTGATGAAGTTAAAAAGTCTGGTTGTGCGACAAGGAGAAAACAGTGATTTTGACATAATAAGGAGGTTGAAAAGTATGAAATCATAATAGAAAGGTAGTAAAAAGTTTTTAAGGTGGTTTTATTGTTAGTTTGACAAAGAAAAAGGAATTTGTCCAAAATTATATGTATTTTTTTAAAATGATCAAAAAACATAAAAGTGCCCATCTAAGAATCACCCACATATTTGTATTTAAAGTCCATGTTTCTGTAAATAAATGATTGCTGAGGAATATAACTGCCACCTTCATGAGCAAAAACTATATGCCAAAGATATTGAAATGCACAGAAACCCATGATAATGCATCTATATCAGTTTCCGTTCCACTAATGTAACATAATGATAATCCATAAGCTTCCTTTAATGCATCTAAATATAAAAAGCTTTCAGGAAGTTATACTCCTAATGATCTTATGCTCCTCTGTGATTTGATTTCTTAGATGACAAACCACCAATGTAAAGTCTAAAAGTTCACAGCTATGATCAGATCAGAGTGCTATAAGGTCACACACTGCGCTTACAGTGACGGGGATGTTTTAATGCCTAGAGACACACACTGCTCTAAAGAAAAACTTGAGCCAATTAGCTAATTGCAAAGTGGATTGATGGTAAACGTAGAGTCAGAGAAATGTGTCACCTCCGGTTTAAGGATAAAGTTAGTGTTATATTTAACTCCGCTGGTTTTAGCTACTCTATTTTGCTTTCTGGTTCATTCTGAACAATTTCAGTTCCTTACATTACATTAGACTGCATGGTTCAGATGTGAAGCATCTGTCATGAACAATCATTTCCCAGTCACACAAAACGGCTTAATCTTAATGTTTTCCACATGACCATTTATAACTGCATGTCTCTCTATAAATATCTAAAATGTTCAGGTTTTGAATATAACTGCTAAATGAGTAGATATTAAATCCTGAAGTAGGATGTAATACCAAAACACTGTGGCAATAAATAAAACCATCC